AGAGCGATGCTAACTGTCGTATAGAGTTAAATTGCACTTACTGTACAAAGGATAAGAAAACATTTAACTCAGGGTAGTCATACTGGTTTTCAGAGGTGCAATTTGTGTTGTGTGTACAATATGTGTGCTTTCATATAATTTTTTTATTTTTTTTTAATTAAACAAATCCACTCAGTTATGCTTTTAGTAGACCAAAGAGTAAAGCGTAAAAGTAAAAACTCTTTTCAGGGTGTAATTTGGAATTGATGCATCATATTTAATTACTAACAACTGCATATATGAGGTATTCTGGAGAGGAATGTACAAACCTGAAATACTTTAATTCAGCAACATTGGCCGTTTATTCCGTCGGCTCTGTCAGTATGGAAACAACATCTCCATTTCTCTCAGCAATTCTGCCAACAGTATTTTACTGAGCATCTGCTATCTTCAGCTGTTTTTCTGACTACAGATCGTGATTTTTTATTCTAACCTGATAAAACGGGCAGACGATGCTGTCCGTGGTCCTGAAATGAGAGCAAGTTCACTTCGGGTGGACTGCGTTTCATGTATTTTCCTGCATTTAAGGACCGGTTCTGTATCATCATATTGGTGTCATTTCAGTTGAGCCTGTAACTGTAGACACGTAAAAACACCACAAGGTGACAGTGTAGACCGCAACATGACGACTTGTGTAGTCGTGTTTAACGCCCCTCCCAGAGACAGCTCACTCAGCTTTGTAACAAAGAGCGTAAACCGAGTGAGGACATTGCGACAGCGGTCTTTGTTGCCCCGACTAAAAGGAAAGAAAATCGGTTATTTATATGCTGTCTTCATCCGGAGTGTTTCTTTGCCGCTTTCAGATGTGAATATCTGCTGTGTTTACGACGGAAGGAATGATGCCTTCACCGTGTAGCAAATGCTCTGTCTGGATATATTTAATGGTGCTGATACTGAAATGTTGCTGGGATGAAGCGTCTGGGCAGCTCTCTTATTCCGTCTCAGAGGAGGTAAACTCGGGAACATTTGTGGGAAACATCGCTAAGGATTTACACTTGAACGTACATGATTTGGAGTCCCGCATGTTCAGGATTGTTGCTGGATCAAAGAGAAAATATTTCGAGGTAAATACGAAGACTGGCGTTCTCTACGTGAATGAGAGAATAGACAGAGAGGAGCTCTGCGCGAAAGCTGCGAAATGTACTGTCAATGTCGAGGCTGTGATAAACGAACCTTTAAAGCTGTACCGTATAGAAATTAATATTCTTGATGTCAACGATAATTTTCCGTATTTCATTGCAAAATCGCAAAGTATAGACATTGCAGAAAGCACATTGCCCGGGATTAAATTCCCCCTGCTGCAAGCCTATGATGCAGATGTCGGAAAGAACGGCATAAACACATACAAGCTCAGCTCAAATGAACATTTCTCATTAGCAATAAGCAAGTCAGGGGAGAGTATTTCTACTGAGTTAGTGTTGCAGAAAGCGTTAGACAGAGAAAAGGAGCCTCTGATTACGCTTACTTTGACAGCCTTAGATGATGGAAGTCCGCCGAAGTCTGGAACCTCAGAAATTATAATTAATGTTTTGGATAATAATGATAATACACCAGTGTTTGCAAAGTCGTTGTACAAAGCTCGTGTATTTGAAAATGTGCAAATTGGTACAACTCTGTTGACTTTAAATGCCACAGACGCAGACGAAGGACCAAACAAAGAAATAATATACACACTTAGCACAAAAGAGCAGGACCATATACTGCAGATTTTTAAAATCGATCCAAACACTGGCACGCTGACAGTTGAAGGAAATGTAGATTTTGAGGAACACTCCGCGTTTGAGATTCGTGCACAAGCCAGTGACAAAGGCTATCCTCCAATGTCTGCTCATTGTAAAGTGCTGGTAGAAGTGTTGGATCTAAATGACAACGCTCCTGAGATTACTGTGACGTCGTTACTGAGCACAGTGAAGGAGGATGCTAAAGTAGGTACAGCTATTGCACTTGTCTCTGTGTTGGACAAAGATGGGGGCAAGAATGGTGAAGTTCACTGTGCCATAGCTAACAGTGCTCCCTTTAAATTGGAAACAAACTATAAAAACTACTATTCACTGGTAGTTGATGGTCCTCTAGACCGAGAGAGCATCTCTAGTTATAATGTTACAATAACAGCAAGTGATGGAGGCAACCCCTCCCTCTCCAGCACCAGTATTATTACTATTCACGTTTCTGATGTCAATGACAACGCACCTCGCTTCTCATCGCCAGACATTAATATTTATGTAAATGAGAACAGCAAAGTAGGCGAAGTTCTTAAAGCAGTAACCGCACAAGATGCTGATATTGATCAAAATGGCCAGGTGAGTTATTCATTGATCCATAGTAACAGTAACTCACTGCCACTTTCTACAATGGTGAATATCAACACAGAGACTGGAGATATAATCAGTCTGCAGTCTTTTAACTACGAAGAATTGAAAACATTTCAGTTCAAAGTTCAGGCCACAGACTCTGGTGTTCCTCCGCTCAGCAGCAATGTGACTGTCAACGTTTTAATTCTAGATGAAAATGATAATAATCCAACAATTCTCGCTCCCTATTCTGAGCACGGCTC